GGAACTTAGAGAGAGGTTTTAGAAAGAAGTTTTGGAGAGAATGACTCTAGGCTAGGAAGCTTGCTTTTGGAAGATTGAAGTTCCCAGGTTGAGCTTCGGAAGGAAATTCCGCTTTTTCTCAGTTCTTGGCTATTCTGAGCCAATCTTCAGGTTAGGGAAGCTTCATGCATTGTTTTCCTTGAAATGGTTGAGTTGTTGGGTGCAGATTGAGTTAAAAAGTTGGGTTTTTGTTGTTTGAAAGAAAAAGAGATGATTGATTTAAATTAGTGGTTGCATGTATGTTCTTGTGTTTTAGAAGTTGTTTATAATGTGGTTAAGTTGCTAAGTTGCCTGATGAAGATGAGTTGAGTAGTTGTTGGCTTAAGTTGTTTATATGTTGTGTGTTTGATGAAACTAAGTTATTTACATGTTGTCTATCGTTGAATTATTAACAATTCGAGATGTATAAGTTGAAGTAGATGATTATTGTTGCGAAGTTGTTTAAAGTTGTTAAGTTGCATTAAGTTGATTTAAAGTATCAAAATAACTATTGTTGTCAAGTTGAATGAAGGGTGTCTATAGTTGTGAAGTCGTAAAGTCGTCATAGTAAGAACCAGTCACAATAGCGGAATGCCCTCTAAACAGATTTCCATATATTGTCCAAAACCTGTAAATATTTAGGGTATGTTTAATTTTTTTTAATAGTTTCGTAAATTTTATTTTTTTAGTTTATATGATTAAACTTTTTTTTATTATAGTTTTTATATATACCATTCTTTTGTCTCAATACTTACATAAACCTTTTCTTTTAATTCTTATAGTTGTGTAAATTTTTTCTATTAATTCCTATAAAAATGTATGTTTGGGACTAAAAATTTACAAAAATGATATGTATAGGGATTGAAATAAAATGTTAAACTATAAAAATTAAAAGGTACAGTTTATGAAATTATAAGACCAAAATGATAATTAAACTTTTAGAGTATGTTTGATACAGGGAAAAAAGAAATAAAAATAATAAAAAGTAAAATGTTTTTTTAAACTGTTTGGTAGAAGAAAAAATTGAAGAAAAAAAAAGGAAATTAAAATGTTTCTTTCCTCGTATTTAATTGTATAGAAAGTGGAAGAAAAAAGAAAAAACATGTATGTATATAAAATAATATAAATGTCCCTAGAAAAGGGAGAAAAATATGAAAAATTAAGATAATTCGATTTGGCCTTTTTACACACAAAATAATAACAATAAAATAACCTTCTTGCTCTTCACTTTTTGGCTGTGAAGGATATTTTACAAGGGCGTACCATTTTCCTCGAAGGAAAATTTTTGGTAAAAATGTGTTCATTCAGTTAATCAAAGCATAAGAGACTGAGAGACAGAGAGAGTTAAAAATATTAGCTCTAAGTAGATTGTTAGTGCCTTAATTATTGGAGTGTTTACACTATGTAAAATCAGTTATTCCAACCCAATTTTACTCGCTTTCAATGTACTTAAAAAGAAATAAGTTGAATTCGATGGGATTTATTTTGAGAGAGTTAAAAATATTAGCTCTAAGTAGATTGTAAGCTAAGATGGACTAATCCACTGTAATTTATAATAAAAAAATGAAGGAAAGAAAGAAGCTATAAAAGATGTACACTCAACAATTTTTCATGTCTTCTTCGGTACTAAGTAATTTGGAGCCTCTAAGGGTGAGTATTCATAGAGATACTGATACTTAAATAATAGCTCAGTGTAAAGTAATAAATATGTATTAAATGAGTAAACGAGTACCTAATATTTGATTTGTTATACTAATTTTATTGAATTTGAATTTTTGGATCTTGCATGTCGTTATCAATTAGGTAATCCAGTATTAATAGGGATTAAAAATGATTTATTGTAGTTGAGTAATCTTTATATGATTACTAAGTATGTTATTTGCTGTCTTGGTCTATGGAAGGTCAAGATGGTACTAAAGATTATTTGACATTTTGGATGATTGAATGGGCTTAAGAGACTATATTTAACATTTTAAGAAATTGAATAGATTTAAATGGTGTTAATCATTGTAAATGGAGGAATGAACTTGAATAAATACTTAGCCTTTTGAAGGTCCAAATAAGTTTGAAAGATATTTGACATTTTGGGTTGTCAAAGAGGTTTAAAGGTCTTTTTTGACCTTTTTAATGGGACAAATTTGAAGAATGTTTAGCATTATAAATGGTTTAGCATTATAAATTTTAATGAGTATTTGATCTTTCAAGAAATCTAACAAGTTTAAAAGATATTTAACATTTTGAGCGACTAAGTAGGTTTCAATTTTAGGATAACTAATATATAAATATAAAAACATTACTCATAAAATAAAATATAAATTTTTTTAATTATAATTATTATAATAATTAAATAATTTATCAAATATTTAAAAACATCTATCATATTCACCAATTATTTTAGGCTAAATCGAGAAATACTAATATTCATACTAATAAATCAACAACAACCAATAAACTCCGATGAGTGACAATAAATATAAAAATATAAACAAAAGTCAACACAATATATAATTATCGAGTATGCATATCAACAAATAAAATTATTTTTACTTCATCAATAGTCTTGAATTTAAATTATGAGTATGTACATACATACAATATTCGAAATGAGTATTTGGTGTTTCATAATAATTTCACCCGACTTCAATGAAATTATTTTCGGTAAAAGATACAAGTGCCCTTTGAAGAAGAAAAAAATCTCAAACCCATTTTACAATTTACAAAACAAGTAAGTTGCAAAAGAAGGGTTATATTATAATAGGTGGATTGAGTGTGAGTGAGTTTAACACTTAAAATCCAAGGAGTTAAATCCAAAACATTTTGAGCCACATATAACCACCACTATGGAACTCTCCAAGCAAAGTATACATTGCCAATATACCAATTGAGTTGTATTTTTTGTATAGACACTCCCAAATTCTTTTACTTTTCTTTATAAGTCCGAATATACAGATCGGGTGATAATGTGTCCCCACATGATGGTATTATTGGTGGATGCAGCAGTGGCTCGAGCTAAGAGCATCTCTAATAAGGATTGTTTATAAGCAATTCCCTTATTGTTAAATCAGTTCTGGTCCACTTTATGAATTGCTTAAATTTTAGCAAAATTATTTTTACAAGCAATTCTGCTAAAATTTAAGCAACCCATAAAGTGGACCAGAGCTGATGTGGCAGTGATGTAGCACAAAAAATTGCTTATAAGCAACTTTCATTGCTGAAGCTATAAGGAAAAGGAAAAGGAAAAGAAAAACAAAAAGTAAAGTAATAATGGATTATGCAGCCATGGCAATTATGGCTGTCTATGCCACGAAAGTGAGACCAAGGTCAAGCCTGAGGAAGTGGCAGGTTTGTTTCATTTTTTGGTATGCCAAAAGCAATGGAAGATAAATATTAAATAATAACATAATCATATTGCTGCATCAATACTCAGCAAGACTTTAACATTTTATTTCTCATCCCTAACTTTATTATTTTTTAAAATCTTAATTTTTCACTCAATTTTCGATATTGTATATATTAAACACGAGGTTGTAGATTTTATTTTTTTTTGAAAGCGTTATTTCAAAAAAGTATAACATGTTGATTAAAAATAATAAGTCTCTTTTAATTATTATCATAAAGTAATCACAAAAATTGTATTTTGTAATTCTTAAAATATACTTGCAGAAAATATTTTTTAGAGCAACATTTCTACTATTATGGAAAGTATTTTTTGAAAAAATAAAAATATATTTTTGAAATGCACTTTCCGAAAGAGTAAAATTATACTTCTAAAATTTACTTTTCAAAAGAGTAAAATTGAAGGATATTTGGAAGAAAAAATTGAGAGAAATATATTAATATAAAAATGTATTTAACAAAAGGCTTGACAAAAAAAAGGTTAATTACATAGCCCATTGGGCAGGCATTTGGAACTCTGGCCCTTTTATTGGAAAAAAGAACTTAATATAAAAAAATAAATAAATAAAAAAACCAACAATTTCATGCACAAAAGTAGGGACAGATAATTACTTGCAAAATTTACTTGTAGTATAAATACTATAATATACATATTTTGTCTTGCATTGCCTCCACTCTCCAAACATTAATCGTTGGTATTTAAAAATAATAATTCTTAAAATAAAAATTATCGTATCATACATAAAAATATTTAAAAACTTTAAATAATAAAGTTTAAAAAAAATATCTTATATTACTATATTTTGAAGTGTAAATTACACTCTTTATTATTAAGAACAAATATTACATTATCATCTCTTATATTAAAATTTAAAGTATATTCTATTTAATTAAATATCATTAAAGTAAATTACATTTCCCTCTCAATTGCAAGTATTACAATACAAAATACATAATAAATTACACTCTTCTTTATGCAAACATTAGAATGTCAATCCACTTTTTATATTAAAATATATTTAGCCCATTCAATTTAATATATAACACTATATTTCCAGATTTTAAAAAAATCTTTTAACTAAAATATATGCTAAAATACTTTTTTTAATAGCCATGATTATAATATTAATATAAAATATTTACCGTTAAAAATAGTAACTAATTTCAATTAAAGTTTGTATGCAGAGAAAAAAATATATAATACTTGTATCTATCATGTATAAAAGATATTAGTAATATCCTTTCTTTTACCAAGTGTTAACAAAAAAGAATTAAACAGTAAGATATTATATGCTGAAATTCTGAGTCTATTTTAAATAATGCAATATGTATTTTTTGAATATTTTTAAAACATTTTTTTAGTATAAATGTTCTTTAAAATAGATTAAAATTCAATATTTAGATTTTAGGTAATGTTTAGAAGAAATTTTTTTTCTTGAGAATTATATTTCTTTTATTTATTTATTTTTTTTACACAAATGAGATTTATAATTCTTAGAAAATGCTTTTCGCACCAATCTTTGGTACTAAACACCAGGTCTTACCCATTTTCATTATCATAAAGACAACCTCATTTATGCTTTGAAAAAAGATGAAAAAACGTTTTCATAATTGGGTAAACTCCTACCTCTTCTGCTCTAGTTCAATTTACAATCATAGCCAGCGACAATAATCATAGGTAAAAACAAACTACAAGGACCTATCCTATGTCAATATTCAACGAGTTCTTCTAGCTGCTTATATGTATGTCTTATTAAACCTATACAAAAGTTATAATTTGCCTTCTATGTTGTATGTTGTGAAGAAATCTTTTTGTACAGGTCACCCTCACACACCAAAGATATATCTTCAGGAGACAACGTGGTACATCTGCTCAAGTAATGGTGAACACCTCGTACCCTGCATTGAGACGTACTTATAAGATACCTGGTTAACTTAAAACGAATCAAGAGGCTTAAAATTCGATTGCTCAACATGTACCTTCCTCTTCTCTTTTCAACTTCTTGTGAAATTCGGACAGCTTCTGACCTTGAAATATGGCGTAATGAAGATAGATATTCATTGAATACATCACCTTTTAATGCCAAGGATAGTTTTGCAGGAACAATGGATTGAATGACACCGGACAGAGATGTTTTGGTTTCACTGTATTATAAACTCCCATAATCAGGTTTGACATTAAGACAAGCCCAAAAATGTTTTTAAAAAATTACCAGAAAAATTGTCAGGAGAACGATTGTGTATTAAAAAGAGATGAAAGGCAAGACTAAATACCTCTTCTGCATATCATTTATTGGTTTTTTACACTCTAATTCCTTTCCAGTATAGATAACTTTGCTTTTCCTGAGATCCTGTCCGGATAATTTCCCCAATGCCATGATATCAGTGGTGGAAGACAACATCTCAGAAGTAATATCAACACAATTTGCACAACCCAATTTCGATCCTTCATCTGCTATACGATTAGCGTAAAAGCAAAACCCATGTTCAGCAACAGTGGACACCATTAGTTGATCATGATACCAACTACATGTGGCTTCACCAGAAGGGAACGTTGAAGATTCCATAATATCCTGCACATGCAAATATTGTCATTATTGAGTGTCACATATACAAAGTTAGAAAAACTTCACTAATCATCTCAGTTATAAAAGGAACTTACACAATTATGAAATAAATCAGCTTCTGAAATTAGATTGCTCAGTCCACTAGCAAGTTTAACGACTTGAAAAGCACCTAGCTGTTCTGAGGTAGCATGCTGTATTGAATCCATTTTACGATTGCGAAGATCTCTCCATAACTTTTGTATCATTTCTGTATCTGTTAATGGATTGGACTGCAAAAACGATGGCTTTAGTTTGAAATCCATACGACTGCACTCATCCATCACATTAACAATTGTTTCCATATGCTCATTCTGAACATCATGCAAAATCCCATTAGGAGAATAATCAGAAGTTTCAGCATCCACCAACAAATCTGGATTCTTTGACAATTTTGTCAAGCGCCTACGGGTGCTGAACGACGATGGTTTCAACTCATTATTCACGGAAACTTCCCAAGGACCAACAAGAGGACCAGAAGACACTGCTCCAGACATTGTCTCTGCTTCATTTTCAATTGCTGTCTCAGGAACAAACGTTGATTCTGGCACACAAGATATATCTAATGATTTAAATGTTTTATCTAAGCATGTATCGTCAGCTGTTTCTGAATATTTTAAATGTTCCTCCTCTAAATGCTCTAATTCAGAACAAACAAGTTTGCGAACTGATGTGCTGGGGTAGTTTCCATTTGATTCATTGAGACATCCATTATTATTTTTCATTGATTGTCTCTTATTAGCTTCATCATGTGCGTCTACAGGATATCCACTATTTGAATCCTCATCCTCAGAATCAGAGGGCATAACTACAAATTTCCTTCGGCCATTTTGCCGAGAGGATGCAAGTGGGGAACCAGAAGAATTGGAAAACTCAGGAATAGCATTATATTGAATTTCAAGCTCACTGTAGTCTGTCAAAGATTCATTTCTATTAATCATCTCCACCTTCTTGGCCTCAATATAATCAGTTTCCATATACTGCACATTTAAATCATTTCGCCTGTGAAGAAGTTCTTCCGTAACTAATCCTCTAGAGCTTTCTTCCATTATATTTGCTGATTTGGAGATTTCGTTGTCAATTAGTTCGGATAACTCTGAGGGGAAATCCCAGGGCATTATCTTTGGTAGTATCTGATGGCCAAGCTTAATATCAAATGGAAGTGAGCCATAACCTATTTGTGCCTTTTCATCTGTACAGTAAAGGGGGAAATCATCAGGTTTTGCAAGCCATTACAAGACAAGATAAACAGGAATTGTAAATGATATTATACTCCAACATTAATTCCTAAGCACAAATATCATAACCAAAAGAAGAAAAAAAACAGCTTTTAGAGTTGCTAACTTCTGAAAGCATCAAAGGGGGAAAAACCTACCAAAATGGGGTATTGAAAAAGAATGAGAAAACTAATATTCACGTGCATGATTTTTTATTGGAGTAAACAATACTAGTAAAACACATTACACTAAAATACTATAACTGCAAACAACAAACTATTTCTTAAAAAATTTACACTTCTAAAAATCAATTTGACGCTTCTTATAATCATGTAAAAGCTAAAAAGCAACCTTCCCAGCCAACAAACAGTAAAAGGTCAAGACAAAAAATGAGGTAAATAAAGGGGGAATACTGAATACATCAATAATCATATTGTTCTGGTATAGAACTTAAGCTAGTTTCAACTAAAGCATAAGAAAAATGAGGCTTCAAGCAAAATGGCAATGACCAATCAAAACTATTGCCGATCAGCATTGAGCCTAGGAGGGTCCATATACAAACAAAAGCAATCTGTTTTGGAAATAAATAAATAATGGCTCTATTAATTTCACTGCTCTTCGTAGTTCATTTTACTCTTTAATGCAGTTACTCTCACCTTTTAAATATTATTTCATAGTCAACAAATGCATACAACAAAATACTTGCTTTGGTGTGTCCATGCTTCAACTTACTGCCGACACAATATAGTCTAGAAACATAAAAATGAACTAAATGCTGTGAGGTACACCTTTTAGAAATCTTCTCCTTTGAAACCAGAACTGAAGATGCATTATGGATTTTCGGATATCTCCATCACAAGAATGTATAAACTTCTCCAGTAAAAGAGGATGGATGTTGACTCCTTCGGTGAGACAAATCTGCAGGTCATTTGTACAAGATTAATATAAATTTGGGCAATTTTCTTTTACTGCTTTGGAGTGCAGAGGGGAGGGAAATTCTCAAAAACATACAGTGTACAAATGGCAAAGCAACTCCTTTGGTGATGGCAACACGAATGAAACACGGAGCATATCAAAATTATCCGGAAGGCCAGGATTATCACCTAATTTACAGCAATGTCTCTATAAATATGAATATCTAAGAAAATCTTATAAGTTAAGCAAAAATGCAAATATTATAACTAGTTATCTTACTATTACTGGTCAGTATAATTGGCCCCCTTGCAGTCTGAGCAATATGTTGTATGGCAGCAATACATCCACGATCTTCAGGAAAAAGGATGTCCACATCCTCCACTAGAATTATAGTTTGGACTTTATTACATGAAAGTACCTTATTTTTGCCAAGTAACTTCGATGATGATCCACTGGGGCTATGATCCTCATCATCAGATACGACTATCAGTTCATCCACACCATCATTCACTTCATCAGCAGCTTTACCATTGAGCAGAGCCGGAGCTGGGGGCAATTTTGTAGATATCTTCTGTGAACTAGCAGGGTTTTCTGATAACCTGAAATATATACACATCAAATAATATGTTGTCACAGAACAGGACAGAAGCTTCTCATAATGAGTAACTTGGTTCTACTATAATACAATTGAATCAAGGCACGTCATGTTACTATGCAGTTTAATTATAAGTGCCGTACTCTTATTGTAATTAGACCTACTCTTTAGATTTTTCTATGTATCAGATTCACTGAGGATTAAAGGGAAAAACAAGTCATAGTCCCATATCAAAAGCTGATAACCCAAGACACCTAGGGACACCAACACGACTACTACATGCTTACTTCATACTGGTTTAACAATTCTACACAATTCTTTAAATTTCACAAAACAAATTGCATTTTTTTAATCTGGCATGCAGTATTGTTTATCATATAACAGTTGAATAATGACATCCACATTCCCAAGTTCAATAAACTATTCTGTGAAATATTACATGCTCCTTGGACGGAGCACTCAACTAAGCCAACAAAATATTGTAGGAAAGAAAAAGCATATGTAAGACAATTATAGTTTATTTAAATAATTCTCTCCAGAAGATTGGATGTTATCAGCAAGCATTGACAAAACAAGTTAGCAAACCTTTTGAACCTAAGTGAACCAAGAGAATCTCCAAAATACTGCTTGACAACAGTCCCATTTCTACAATCTGATGCACTGAGCTGTTGAGACAACATGAACCATAAATAAATTAAGCTTGACTATGTTCATGGTTGAAAAGACAGATATATGAAAACAAGGAAAATAAATCATTTAACTAGATTTTCTAAAAAAGATGTTGATACGTGTTTTTTTTTTGGTGGGGGGAGGAGATATTGCGCACATCTGTTTCTCAAAATTTTCATATTGACACCTAGACTAGCAACTGAGCAATACAAGTAATAGTTTCCACTATACATTCTCAATGTTTTTAACTACAAAAATAAGTCTTTCAGACTATCATTCTTCGCATTGGACATGAAAAAGACCAAGCTTAAATTCAAAGTTCAGAGAAGACAGCAAACTCATCAGGCTAAATCCCAATCTGGCTGAATAATCTATGAACTTTATCTTTTCAGTGATGCTTATAAAAATTAAGGTAGCTACTTACAGGATCATGGGATCAATGAAAATTATCATTACAAAAGTGTATCTGTTTAAAAGCATAAATTTCAAAATATATTAATAAACTAAGATACCTCTAAAATGTCAAACCCTTGCTCTTGGGCACAAGCATAGACTGCAGCAGACTTGCCACTCTGCAAATTAAAATTATGTATCAGTTACCAATATGAACAGGAAGTGTTTGTGCTGGAAAATATATTGATTACAGGTAAATAGCACAACAATTCTTTACAGCCATTTTAAAGTTATCCAAGGAATGAAACATTTAGAAGGCAAGAAAAATAAAAGACCAACATTCCTAACTATTATAATCATATGCACAGAACATGGATGAACAAAGGAAACTAATTGCTGGAAAAGTAAAATAAAGTCCATGTTTCAAAACACGATGACTAAAAAATAAAATAGCAATGACTATTGCGAAATTAACCTTGGAAAGATGATCGTCATTAATATGATTTGCAGTCATCAAATTATATTTCTTTATAATCAAATAGCTGAGGATTTATGAACCCATGTTTTTATTATTTTTCAATTTTTTGCTTGATCTTTTACATTCTACTTCCCCATGGTTCTATGTTGTTTTCAATATGGCATTAGCTTTTATCTTGATTTCATGGAAGGCTCTATGTGAAAAGTTCTCAAGTCTGAATACTTATCCTAAAACTACTCTACCCATATATTTTAATGTTACTTTCAGAAACTGACCAATATATTACTGAATAATAGTCGCCTTCAATACATTTATAAATGATAAGTGTATGCAACAGTTTTGAAGTAGATTTCCACAAACCCCAATCGGTCCGGTAATTAAAAGAACATTCTGCAGGGAATCCTCCTCATTTATATCTTCTGAATCATAGTCACTATTGGAACATTTATAATCCTCATCGTCATCATCGGCATCTTGCATGTCACTTTTATCCATCTCAGAGGTATCCTTCCTGCTTTTATAACATCTCTCATACCAAAGATGTAGCCAGTCACGCAAGAAGTTCACAGATTCATCATTACCACATACCTACAAAAAAAAAAAAAAAACAATAAATGCAGAATTTAGGATCATAGAAAACTGAAGAAAAACACAACCTTGATTTAAAAAAAAAATGACCTCAACAGCCTTTGTTGGCTTGTATTTGTATGTCCACAAGCTGTCCTCCGCTTTATCTACACAACTACGGTAGTATGATCTCATACTGCAATGAAGATATAATACAAGGTAAAACTCACTATCATGAAATAAACTTTCTCTGCTTAAGCTCATTGAACTGAAAATGAAATCACACTAATTTAAAAAAATAATAAACAGAGTACAATTATTTTCTCTTTTATGATTGATACTGCTTAACTACTAGGTGAACCCAAGTACACCAGCCTTTTATATTGCTGAAGATAAAGTTTGGAAAGAAGAATTTCTTAGAATTTGCAAATGCATAAATTAACATATATACAGAGAGAGAGGGAGAGAGATAGGGGCTCATATAATGAGGACAATTTTTATTTTAACTGCATCAAAATTACAATTCTTGATCATACAACAATGCATGAATGATCAAGATTTAAAATGACTTAGTAATCACATGACCAAAAAAGTTATGCGCATTTATATTTTAATCTTGGTCATTTAAATAAAATTTAATGGTTTCACTATGTCTGTATAAATGAGCCGTTGTCAATTACTAATGTTAGTGCCACGAAGATATTGGTGTGGCATGAGTCATGCATTTGTTACCTTTCTTGAAGAAATCTACTCAGTGGTTCAGTATCTGACTTTCCAAAAATGCCAGCTTGTTCAGTTGGAGTAACAGATTCATCCTCCCCCATGTACTGAAAACAATTTTTGGCCAGCAGTTAACAAATAATTGAGACAGTATATCTCACCCTCTAAACTAGCTTTCGTGGATTACCTACATGCCACAGCTATGCATAGAGGCCAGGTAACTAGAGACAAAACTATAGATGCCATTCATTAAAAATAAACAAGAAATGATATACCAGTTTGGCATCTTTACACGGAGGACATGTTTGGTCAGCTAGAGAAGCTGAACTTGATGGTGATACTTCTTCCAGATTTTCTGGATGTATACTAAGTCTATTTGAAGATAAGGCATTCTGAGAAATTGAAGTGATAGATGGAACCAAAGAACTATGAAGCTTATCAAAGTTTAAGGATTCGAAAGAACCCTCCAAAACAGATAAATCTAAACTTTCTGGATCATAATCCATAGAGGTAGTATTCTCCAGAAACGTCCAGTTTCTCCAGTCAAGGGATGAGGAGGTATCATTCTGCATGAACAAATTTTAAACCTAACTCAAAAAATATGATAATACAGAATTCAAAACCCAAACACCAAGGAAATATATATTGCCCCCTTTTATCACATCACATTAAAGCAATAGAAAATCCCAGGCACAAATAACATACCTGAATATTTTCAAATACATGAATAGGGCCGCATGCAATCGATTCATCCTCAATCTTTGCTGTCAATAAATTACTTCCCGATACAGCCACATCCTGAACTTTCTTCCCCGCCTTCCACAATGAAAAATATGGATGTATCTGCCGTCCTGCAAATATCCTTGAATCTTCCTGGTTTAAAACATGTTACCAAAATACAATTGTCAAAGATAGCCATGTCGTAGTTAAGTAGCATTGATAGTATGAAACTGAAAAGCTAAAGCCACAACACAAAGAAGGTTTCAGGTCAATGTCTCAACACAAACAAATAGCCTTACCCAATTGTTCTTATTCACCCAATTCAAAGCCCAGAATAATGAAACATTAAGCTAATTCAAAACAATGCAAATCAAAACACACTAACCTCAGCCGACAATTTCGCTTCCAACCACAAATCAAACACAGGTACATTAACCTTATCCGAATCAGTCAACACCTGCTGCGAAGTTGATCCCGTGACCCCATTAGCCGCCACATTTTTCTTCGGAACGGCATTCTGCTTGTACAGGAAAATAACAAAATACGATTAGAATTTAAAGCCCTAAACTTTCTCATACGCTGTGCACGTCAAAGCATCCAGCAACACTCGAATTACACCATGAGAGAAAAACCACGTCGGCTATTATAATTAAGGTTCTTAAATAATAAATCAAAATTGAAGTTTTAAATGAAGGAAAAGAGAAGACCTAACTACCTTGGAAGCTTTTTTGCGAGGAGTGGTTTTAGCCTTAGGCTTTTTCCTCTTCTTGGGATTCTCAGCAACCGCGTAATCCTCGTCGTGTTTGTCGTTCTTTTCAGGAGGTTTCGGTGGGTTGTGGGGGGAGAGCGTCGATTGGACCAACCTCCGGCGGGAGCTGCGGCGCGGCGGTGCGGCGCCATTGCAGGAGGGAGTGGGCTCCGTGACGGTGCAGTCCATCTCGGTAGAATTGAATTGAATTGAATAGTTGAGATGTGTGAGATAGGTTTGGGAATTTTGGGGTGAAAGGAGAGAAAAGGAGAAGTGAAGGAGTGTAATTAAGAGTTGAAATTAGGGTGACGAAAATTGGAGGGAAACGGTTTCGATCTTTCCGAATTTGGAGGGAGTTATTGCAGTATATTATCTTTTTCAGTTTTCACTAGTGTGTTTTCCAATATATAAAAATACAAACACCCCTTTTGTATCTCGAGTTTTTATTTTTTAAGATTTTTTTATTATTTATCATAATTATTTATAAATTAAATTTTAATAATTTAAAATAAATTATTAATAAATGCAAATTATTTTTTATTATGATATAAATTATTTATCATAAATTTAAAATATAATCTATTATCTAAATCTTAAAATCCTAAAACTATGTATCTTAAATCCTATATTTTAACCCACGGATATAAAAATAAAATTAAAAATTATCTAAAAATTTATAATTATAAATTTAGATATGTCAGATACAAAAAAATCTATTATAAAAAAAAATTGTAAACTCCATAGCTCTATATCTTAAAATCATAAACTTTAAACTCTAAATTTTAACCCACATATATAAAAACCTTTTTTACCTTTATCAAATTATCTAAAATTTATATATGTGAAATATAGAAAATTCACCAGAATAATTACGAAATTTATAATTTCTTTACCAAAACATATTTCCGCTATAAGAAAAATAAATAAAACTATACTAAACATAATTTAAGATATTATGTGTAGTTTCTACTTAAAGTTTAAAAAATAAAAATTTCAAAAAAATAATTAAGTATATATTGAGTTCAAAAAATTAAATAAATAGATATGTTATCTAAAATTTAAAAATAAAAGAGATAATTCTCAATGAATATGTCTCCAAATAATTTTATTGCCATTTTTTAATTTATTAAATTATCTAAAAACAAAAAAAAAAATTGAATTCATTACTTACAAACAATTACTAAAAAAAATTATGAGATCTGTAACTCCTTTTTCGGTAAAAAGACAATGCTTAAGAAAATTAAGCTACTAAACTAAACTTAAAGCATAAATACCAAAATTCTATACCTTAAAATCACAAATCTTAAATCCTAAATTTTAGCCAATAAATATAAAATCTTTTTTAACTTTATAAAATTATCTAAAAATTTACAATTAAGATTTTGAGATATGTCAGATATTAAAAATATATTATAAGAAAATTAAGTCACTAAACTAAAATCTATACTTTAAACCTCGAAATTATAAACTCTAAAAACATATATCCTAAAATCATAAATCTTAAATTTTGACCCAAAAATATAATATATTTTTTTATCAAATATTTTAAAACTATAATTAAAAATTTTAAATATGTCAAATATTTAAAAATTAAAAAATAATAATAAAACAAAGCAAAATACTTACAATATTTATAAACTCTTTTTACTGAAAGGGATAATTCCATTGTAAGAATAATAAAATAACTAAACTAAAAACTACTTAAGAGATTATGTGTAGTTTATATTTAAAATTTAAAGATAAAAAATTGAACACATTAATTAAGTAGATATTGAGTTCAAACTATTAGTTGAATAGATATCTCATCTAAAATCTAAAAATAAAAAATGTCAGTTGCCAAAGAATCACCAAAGTAATATGAAATTTAAAGTTATATTCACAAAAATATATTTCAAAGAAAATAATAAAAAATAATAATTCTTATTGCATATGGTTACAATTTGTAACAGTCCGTTAGGTCTCATACAGTCTATGACGTAAGTGGATAGTGTATTAGTAACACAATTCATACCATACAGATACATGTATAAAATAAATATCACATTCCAACGGCTATATACACAACAAGACTAAACAATTTTAAATATCATATACATGTATAAAACTAAAAGTATGATATAATATCCTATACAAAACAACTAGGCAGTCGATCACAATATGAACAACAAAATATCAACTCTTTGACTGAGTCTCAACCATAAGCCTGCCTTCCCAACACTGTCAAGCATCTACTCACATACTAAAGTATAATCATCACAATTCCAACCACAAGGAAAAATAGTCAAGGTAAACTCACAACAACAATCATCATAAAACGACATAATCATAAAATAAGCAACAATGTAGAATACAATCATTAAACTTTCAACTTCAATGTTAAAACACAACACATACATCAACATATACAACATCAATTAATACGTCGTTACGCATATGCAACTAAGAGATCTCCAATAACTGAGGTTGAGTAGTCTATGTGACATAAATCCTACCAAATTCATCTTTAGACCTATCTCAACCAGGTTAGGTATAGGACAATATTAAGAATTTCAAAGAGACTTAGGTATAGACAACAATAGTTGATTGCACAAGTGTGGGACTTAGACCTGGAGGTCTAATATTACTATCAGGGAATTAGGGTTTGGGTATGAGTCTATCATAACCCTGGCTTGCATCACCAGTCCACATGTGGAGTTAGCCCATCCATTACCCTCATGTACCACACACCCTTCAGTACCTAGTCAAAGACTACATCTCTAATTGGATACCTTACTCATCTGGTCATTCAACTATAACATGGATCAACTACTTTCATGTTGCCCACACAATCCTAAGGGATTTAACTTTTAAACAACTTTCAACTTATCACCTTAGTACTTTGTATCATCAACTTAGGACATATATCTTCAACAATAAGTCCCCAACTCTGCAAATTTACAACAATAAGCATCATATAACAACTTAAGTAAATGACTTTAGCAACAATAGTCATCCAAATATCAACTTTAATAGACAATTTAACAACTTTCAAATAACTTTACAACATAAACAACTTACAACTTTACACATATCAACATCATTATAACATCATCAACTTTAATACAAAACATCAATATATCATCAACAACATTAAACAACATGTAAACAACCTCAACCAACAACTATACAACTCGTGCTCATCATTTAAAAGTCAATAAAAGACAATACACACATGTACTAGTATTAGACAATATCATGTGTTATGAGCCTGGCGCGATCCATTTCGCGCCCAATGCCAGAGACACAAAGTGTCTCCTAGTGCTTACGCGCCCGACACAGCTCCTCTTGCGCCTGGCGCCCCAAAGTCAGAGGCTCAACTTCTACCTTGTGCCCAGCGTAATTCAACTCGAGGCTCTCTATCTCATTCATGCCCAGCACGAGGCTTCTTGCGCTTAGCACCCAAGAAAGGGTGTCTCTCTACCAGGGTTGCACCCGATGTGACCTCAACAAAGACTCACCCTTCTACTTAACTGATATTGCGCTCGGCGCACCTCATCTTGTGTTTAGCGCCCTTCAACCAGAGGCTCAATTTCAAATTCTTGCCTAACGTGACTAACCTCGCGCCCAACACGAACGAGAGATTTGACTATCTGTAAGAGGCCCACCAGTGCCATGAATGCGCGCCTGACATGTGCTCAAAACCAGCACACCCAACTTTGATTTTTCATCAAAATCCTGCCATTCCAACAAACCCCAACACATGCAACCATATTCCATACATTTACAACAATATAAAGCTACTAAAACAACCTAAAATAACAACAGCAAACAAAACGATATAAAAATCCTTAAATTCCTTATTTGGCTCGAAAACCCCAAACAATTAAAAACTCCATATTTTCTAGCTCAAACCCCCAGATTAATCCACCCATAACTACATTTCAACACCACCTAAGCTTAATGATTCAACAAGAAACCAATGTAAACTTCCCTAACTGTACATTTCGACCTCCGAAAATTTCAAACAAGACAAGCACAAAGAAGAAGAAAAACTAAACTCAACACTAGCTTTCACTCCAATCTACAACACTACTTAAACCTTAACTCAACAATATATACCGCCTCAACCTTGAGAATGGAAACAACAGTGAATAAGTTTAGAAAATGAGAGTAAAGAGGGAAAAAAAAAGAAATAGGGTTTCGGGTCTTGCACAATTAATTCTATTATATTTTTAAAAAAATATTGGTGAATTGTATATTGTAATTTTTTTAATTTATCAAATTATCTAAAAACAAAAAGTTTTAAATATGCTAGTTACAAAACAATCATAAAAAAATATTATGAGATTGGTAATTTTTTTTACCAAAATTAATTCCTTTATTAGAATATAATTCTATTATACAACTAATTTTTAACTTATTAAGTTATCTAATATTTTTTATTTAAAGTTTACAATTTTAAACATTTTAGTTACAAAAATAATCCTCAAAACAATTAAGATATTCATATATCCTTTTTCACAAAAATATAATTCTATTATGAGAATTGATTTATCAAATTATCTACAAATTTTAAATATATCAGTTATAAAAATAATTATTGGAATAATCACAAGATTTATAAATTATTTTCACTAGATGATAATTTTATTATAAATTTTTTTAGTTTATCAAAATATCTAAAATTTAAAAAAAAAATTTAAAATACGTCAGCTTTTTAAAGTAATATTTGTTTCTTTTAGATTTTTTATTTTTATTAAAATTTAGCCATAGTACCATAAATAAAAATAAAGTATTTTCATTATTGACTCTCAAAAGACGTATTATAAATTATGGTCCGGTAGTTACCACACATATACGCATGTATTCACATTGGTAATATATTGTCTGCTTTGAGCCAGAACCCTCATGGTTTTGCTTTTAGACACCAACTAAAAGACCTCTCAACTAATGAAGACAATTGTGCGTATATAAACACATGTCCATCCTCTTGTTTGAACGATGTGAGACTTTACTTGTATTCCAACAAATATCTCCTGGAATGCATATCCAAAGGTTTGAAGACAACCTATATTGAAGATAAATCAGAGTCAAACTTTAATTTCTTGACTATAAAATTAATTGTCAATCCTCTTTAAAATTTTATGCATGATAATATATATTTTTTATTTTGTTATTATGGTTGATATCAAGTCGACCAAATAAGTATTCCATACCAACTATTGAAATAAATTATGTATATCTCATTTACATCAATGATTTATTTTACCCGTAGTAAAAATGCACGGGTAAAAAGAGAGAAGGATTTTGTTGAAAGTGTAATTATTATGTATAAATATTTTATTTGTCTAATTTTTTTCAATATATTTTCATAGTT